CCTCCAGAGATTCCAATCAGATAATTCCACTAGTTAAAAAAATTAAATCTAAACTCGCAATCCACTTGTATACTACAGAATCATACAGAAGCTTAAACCAGACGTATTTCACAGCAAATAGATTTGCCTGAACAGACTGCCATATTATACTGCCAGCTGTTTTAAATTTTGCTCTTTCTATGGTTTTCCACAAGAATAGCAGTATCAGCAGCAGCATCACACTGTGTTCCAAGTTATAAAATGTTTAATGATGTTCAGAATCCAGTTTTTTAAATCAAAAGTAATTTTTAGAAATCAACGTAAGTATGACAAAGTTGCTGCATGCAAATACAACTTTGAAGTTCAACAAGAAAAGCAAGTGCAACACCAAAAATCTAAGAGCATATATGCACTGCAAACTTAAGGCAATTTTAAATAGGATAGTTTAGGTTTCTTGGAAACTATGATTCCGAACAGAATTTTCAGCACCATACCAAATGGCAACTACCAGGACTGGCTGGAGAAAGCAACATTATAGTAGTATCAAAATGCAGTAGGTTTGTAGTGTACCTATGCTCTCACAAGAAGTAGTATAATTGTTTATATGCATTCAAATCATCACCACAATAGTTGGAAGTTCAGACATGTATAAAAATCTAAGGAACCATGCCATGCAAACATTAGGAAACTTGCACTTAAAGCAACTCAACCATTATGGTGAAGTAAAGAGAAAGATGCTGAAGAAGCTCTAGACATGAGCATGATTTTACATTAAATTTCAGGAAAAAATAGCCTGATTATGAATTATATAAAATATGTTCTAAACTGATCACAAATAATTGGAAAAGTGCAATGTTCACCTGTGCACATACTGCATTCGAAAACCAACAAGATTACTTACATGTAATTTTTGTAAGAAAAATTGATTTTGCATATATTGCTATAATGCTCATGTTTCACAACAACACATCCACGTTTCAAAACAATATCAAGTATCCTGACTAGCACTGTTACAGAAATGTTCAGGACTGCCTCCGTGACACAGAATATCTACACAGCTAAGAGAAGCCAGCAAGCTGTTTCTGGACAAATACATCTTCAACAACAAAAGTGACTGCTGACATCTGTTAGATGATTAATTTCCAGGGTGAAGATGGCAAATAGGGAAATGTCATTTCTTCAGTAGGCAACTGAGCCTGATTCTGCACCTTAAAGAGCAATTAATATTGTTCATTTAGCAGCTAATTCCCCCTCCAATTCTTAAAAAGCTGTCCAAGCAGTTCTGTTTTAATATAATAAAGGCTTTCTATCAGTCTACACATTTAAATTCTCATATTAAAAACAGCTTCATTAAAGTTCTGAAGCACTGTCACACTATTCCCACTAACACCTGATTTAGAAAACCCTCTTCACTTCTTATGCCATGTAGAACATCACTGGTTCTGTGTTTCATTTTCTCCCCTTTCAACTATGTATCTTCTTTCATAACTTTCAAGTATATGCAAGACATGACACACACAATCAAAACTCTGAATTTCTTCTCCCTTTCAGATAACCATTTGAAGCATCACAATTCTCCCCTATTAATGGAATAGTTACAGTGATGCTGACTTTATTTCTATTGGCATATCATTGCTGTCACTGCGTATACTTAGATTCAAAACCTCTTCTCTCACAACTTATACATAGTTGTTTCCATGACAAACACAAAATAGATCTCATAAGTGTATTAGATACTAGCTAACCAGTAAAAGTTTTTATTGTGCTTGATCTACAATAAGAGTGAGAAAACACCTGTTCAATTATAGCTGCATTCAATATTCAATGCAGTTATGGTATAGGGCAATAGCTGGACTAATACAAATCCCTGAATTTCACCAGCGCACATGCATTAAACTGGAGGCCAATACATTTCCTTGACTGTGGAAAGTTATAGTGTTACAATCTTGGGTGCGAACTGTAAATATGGTGAAATCCAGACAATCACAAAGTCCCATTCCTTCTAAGACATTAGAACTCATAAGCGAATGAAGCATTAATGGAAACTCTTGTTCCATAACAAGCTATCATATTGTCTCTTCCTTTAAAAGAATGCTATTTTATATGATCCTCATCACATTAGTACAACTTATCACATCTATGAAGGCTGAACACAGAAAAACACTGAAGAGTACATAGCTCAGATTTAATAACTATCAGCACTTTCCTTACCAAAAGGACACAGTGACAAATAAACAGAAAACAGAGCAGAGTCATGAAATAAGTGCTTCTTTTAATTGGTTTTAAAGTGGCAAAAAAATCAGAAAAATACTTGTAGGCAGTATTTTTCAGTAGGCATAGAAATGTGAAAAAAGTCATCTAAGGCAATTTCCTTAGTGATACATCACTTCTAAAGAATCACACATCTCAGTTCCCATTTTAAATATAATCCATTTTAATATTCATTGGACATGGGAAACAATTTTCACCATCATTTCAATTCTTTTAACCCATGAACCTTAGATAACTTCAAAGTAAGTTCTTCACTGTGACCAGCAGGGGTCATTTCAGTATAAAAATTGTACTGGAGGAAAGTGACTTTAAAAGAGAGATTTGAAAAAATATATAGCATATTCTCCAAAAGCTATATTAACAATTTATGTTGCAAAGGTTTCGCCTACAAGTTACAGTTTTAATAACAGATGGCAAGAAATGTGTGATGTAAACTCTACCTCTAGTATCAGCAACCCATTAAGAGGTTTTTATATGTTACTCTTACCTGAAAGGTTAAATAAAAAGAAGTGAACTTCTTAGAAATTCAAAGTCAGCTATTAAGTACTCATTCAGCTGGTTACTACTGTGTGAGAGATAACAGTAAAAATATCAGCTAGTTAATTCCCTTGTATTATGTCTGCATGATAGTTAGGGAAGGGACAACTAGCGATACTGTCAAGACTCCAGAATACAGAAGATTCTCTATTTTTAGCAGGGTATGCCAAATTTACTTCTAACTGAAGTTTAGTTCCATACAGGTGACATCACTTCTAAAGAATTATAACTGACCTAAAATTTCCAGAATTGCTTAAAACAAATCATAACAAAATGGAGAGTTCAACTTGTTCCACAACAGAAATTTCTTAAGCTGTTTATTCATCCAATATGCTCACACCTTTCACAAACTTGACTTGCACAAGGCATTAAGAAGTTAATCACTCCAAGAAAAAAGCTAACTGGCATTATCAGCATCATACTAGAAACGAGACAAACCTATGACAATCTATCATGCCAAACTGAGCAAAAAAAGAGAAGGGAGAAAAGCACACCTGAGTTTAAATACAGAAGTCGGTCTTACTTCCATCAAATTAAGGAGTTAACTAACAGGCTAATATATCATAAGGTAATGTTTAGGTATGTCATTTTTAAGGAACAGAGGAAAGAGATATGGGGTACTTTTGATAGTTTTTTTGGATGACTGTCTCCGCCTTCTCAAAGGAATTTCTAAACTCTCTGCGGCCCTCTAGCGGATCAACAAGAAAAAACATACTTTCTGCAAATGGGCAATGGGGGGGATTTTCCATGCAGATTCTCATCTACAATAGAACCATATTCTTCCTTAAGCTTTCCCACTAGGTTAATAGATAGTAACAGAGACACTCTGAACTCTCACATGACACATTTGCAAATATTTCGCTTGGCTACTGTCTATATTTCCACTTACAAGACACCACCTATTAGAAGGCAAACTGAAGGTGATAAAAATATGAATGGACTTTTCCTCCTTTTTTGCATGAAAATGAAGGATCCATCTTCTCTCCATGCTGGTAAAAAGTGATGGGAATAAGCATAACAACAAGTCAGTCACTCTTTGTTTCTTTAACAATTCCAAAATCAGCAACATGGGTTCCTGACTGGGGCTATCGCAATTCAAAAGATGAAAGGCTACCAATTAAGATAATCTTAAACAACTTTTGCAATACCATTATTTGCTGATCAATACAGTATAATTTACTATGGAGATCTATGCTGTCAAGGTATCTGCAACATTCTGAGAAATGTGTCACTAAAGAAAATGATGCAATAGTGATAGGCTAAGCTACCAAAACTGCAAAAAAGGCTGGACAGAGCATCACTAGATATTTACTTGCAAATGTAGACAGAAATCTATTACATGATAAAATTATAAAATTAAGAGCACCTATTCGGAAGCAAGTCTCACTACAGTCAGTAATACTCACTTTCAAGTCAACATTATTAGGATTAGGCTGTAAAAACCAAGTAGCGAAACAGACAACAATGTCAAAGGAAACAGTAAACTGAAGGGTTAGTACCAGATGTTTACATTAAACACACATTGACCCATTTCTTTCACAGAGAAGCAAAAAGCGAGTTTGTATTTTTGCTGCCCATTGCAAGACCTATACAGAGCTTAAAAGTGGTGGGAACAATAAGCAAAGAGCATTTTTAAAGGAAAAAATGAGTACTAAAAATATCCATCCACCTTTTAAGGAGGAATAGCTCCAATACCGGCAGTAGAAACGTACAACTCCAGAAACGAATGGGAGGGGGGTGTATAAAGAAGCGGTCAGTTGACGTGTATTCGATGCAGCCCAAAATGGAAAATAACCGGGGGGGGAGAGAGAGAGAAGACGCATATCATACAACCACATCAACAAGGAGAAAAAGAAAAGATACGCCACACTGGCCAGCCTCCTCCCTTTCCTTGGAACTGAACTGCCACCTTTCAAGGTACTCACAGCACTGAACACCAAGAGTCTACTGAAAATGGAGTAGTAGAGAAGGGAAAAGGGAAACCCCAAAGCACCGCAAACCGTCTTACTCGGCCTTTTCGGGGTGGAGGAAGAAGTAAAACTGGGGGAAGACACTGTGGTCCACACAAGCACCCCACCCCTTTTCTTAGCACTCCCAGCCCCACGGCACGACACGCGCTGTTTCGACGCTCCCCCGAAAGGAGGTGGGGCGGCGTGGCTATTTGCACCGGGGTGGGGGGGGGGGAGGGAGAGAGAGCGATCCTCCGCGTTTACCTTCACAGACGCCCGCTTCGTATTCGGTGAGGGAGTCTCCGTTGAGCGGGGGTCGGATCACGCAGCGCAGCCCCTTGTCGCAGGCTCCGTGGAGCCCAAAGAAGCCCCCACAACTCTCGTTGCGTTGCCGGGCACACATGAAGCAGCAGCCGCAGATGTCCAGGACGACGCCGCCGGGGCAGTTCTTGGGCTCCTCGCACCTGGACTCGTCGCACGGCAGGCAGACGAACGCCCGCGTCCCGGACTCCCCCAAGAGCAGCAGCGCCAGGAACAGGAGCCGCCCCGCCGCCAGGTGCCAGTCGCCGCCGCTGCCCCGGCGCCTCCGCCCCGCCGACAGCGTTGCCAGGTACATCCCGGCCAGGGCCGGAGAAGCCCCCGCGGATCCACACGGAGTCTCCGGGTCCCGCACCGGACCAGCCCAGTCCCGGCGGCG